AATTGGTTTAAAATACGCTTCTCTCCAGTGATGGAAACATTTAAATATTGTGAAACACGACTGAATAGAATTTAATTAGCACTAATGAAAATGATATATATTATAAATGCTTGAATAATATCTAATCTTATATCTGCTGTGTATACGTGTGTATATATATATATATGAACAAGATAACCACGGTTTAATACCGAGTTAATTACATTAGAAATCAGAAGCTGAATCTGACTGACTAACTAACTGAATCCACTATTGAACTTGTATGGTAAACTTGCTTTACAAATAACCGCGGTATGAATGTCGAATTCATCGCCAAGTTGTTAACAACCTACGAGGCATTTATCAAGCACCTTCCTTCCTTAAATAAGTGAAATCACGAGATAAAAAAAAAGGAAAGGAAGAAAAAAAAAAAAAAAAAAAACGAATCTTTGCATCGATGTTCGTGAATATTGATTTTGTCCGATATTTGCATAGCCCGCGGTTTAAAATCGTGGGAAACAATAGACGAATTGTATTTGAGATCTTTCCATTTTCATCGTGAAACACCGAATGAAGTAATACCTTCGATCCAAGCCTTGAATAACGGAGCAAATAAATATTTCTTATATTTTGATAGACGATGCTCCATTAATAAATGATTCTTTTTTTTTCTTTAATGCCACGTAGAAACGAAAGATTAAAAAAAAAAAAAATAATTCGTTTTAATACGCGGTATCTGCTGAATTTTCATCTATCGATAACTCTCCCAAGAATTATTTCAAAGATAATCTTAATTCGTACGTGAACTCGATCATCGCCTTTCTTCATCATTTCCTACGATTTTTCAATCATATTTCAGACGAACACTTATAAAATTCTCTCGACATCCTCTTTTATCATTTTATCTCATGCGAATCAATAATTATACAGAATGAAGCCATTACTTTTGACAGAGATTACAGACAAGAGTTCATGCCCCATTATTTTACTTTATAGCCAGGGAGAATAATGATCCCTAATCCGATTTTTGTTGCCGGGAGATATATCAAGAATTGGAGCAAAGTATGGAAGTAGTGCGATTACATGAAAAAAAAAAAAAAAAAAAAAAGAATAATTTTCTGACAAAAAAATCATATTTGTCACGTTCACAATGTTACCGCGTGTAACAAGGAATCTGTAGACTCTGGCTGAATCTGGCTGTAGACGCGGTGAATTTGCACGGAAAAATGTAAAATTGTAAAAGATCGAGATATTATTCAGTTCTCGACCGATGTATTTTCCGGGAGCGTACGCAGTTTCTGGAATGAAATATACGAAGATGGCCGCAACGTGCACCGCTTGAAGATTTTCCAAAGTTAGCAACGTAACCGTGGCGAGGGCCGGTCCGCTCGAAGAATTGAAAACTTGGAAAAATCGATCCTTTGTCCTTGAGATATGGGGCCCTGAGGCCAACGAAACGACTTATACCTATCACGGTTAACTGCGTCTTTATATTCTGGCTGCATCGCACGTAGCTTTTTGCTCCCATCACGCTTGCGAATCAGAATTTCGAGAAAAATATATATTCCCCGATGGCGATAACTCGCTTCCTTTTTTTCCCGTTGCTGGATATCTAGTAAGAAATTCGACTTTGAATCGCGACAATGAATATTTTTTTTCTCGAACGAAACTATTCTTTGCTGCTAGAATAATAAAGAATGTTAATATTGGAAAATTGAATACACGGGATATATTTTTATCTTGTACAAAGAATCGATAAGACATCGGTATCGAGGAGCCGTTCCACGTACCAACAAGTATTTCTTATTATCAATTATTTATTATTTGGAAGAATACAATTCTTCTCGAAAAAATATTTTTATATCAATTATATAACAATATTTTCGTATATAAATTGCATATGATAAAGTAAAATTATCATATTTTTTTTTTTTTTTTTAAGAAAAGAAATTGATGTCGAAAAATCAGATTGCTTCAAAACGAAAAATTTTAAAAATAATCCGTGTTTCCACTCTTTTTTTTTTTTTCGTTCGTTTTTTGTTTCAGATAGATAACGTAGTAGCATGTAACTCGCGAGTATGTAACTATCACCTACATCAACCAGTGGTCCCTAATTGAACTTCCGGCAAGGGTAATTTTACGATTTACACTACGGAGAAGAGGATCCTCTTTTATCCTCGATCAAACACAGAAATTCTCCATCAATCCAGATTGAAAATCAACAATTTAAATCCTGATGAACGATATCAGGATGTGTGATAAAGCGAAACTTAAGAATTGCAACAGATAATTTACGGTTTAAACTTTAAGGAGAAATGTTATCTACGATTTTAGCAAATTCATGAGTCAGGAAATTTATCCGCTTACTGTGTCCTTCCGTTCTTGGAAATGGAACGGAAATCCGTGATTCGAGTTAGAAAACATATAATCAAACGATAAAAGCGCGAGAAAAAAATGCCACTCTATTTTTAACAATCGTATAATTATATATACATATATAAATTGAATTCTTACAACTACTATATATAATTCTATGTGTAAAATAATAGTGATAAAATATAATAGTAAACGATATAATGTATAGTTTCTCACGTTCCATTTTAACCTAACGATGTAAAACAAAAAAAAAAAAAAAAAAAAGAAAAGAAGAAAAAGAAACAAACGTACGAAAGACAAGTATAATACTTGTCTTTTTATTGTTAAAGAATCACAGAGAAATGTGCGAGACACGCTTCTTCCGAAAGGATGATTCATGGGATATGGAGATGAACGCATACGTACGTATATATCTATACGTATCTACGGATATTATGCATATGACATCGGGTCGGACATTAACCACTACAGGGATATGCATCTCGCATGAGATATGGTATCTATCGATACTTGATTAATAATTTTAATGATACGTTTTAAACGAAAATCGATCGTTACGTGTAATGATACTTCTACGATACGAAAATAAATGTATTTACACTCACCGCTTTCGATGTAAGGAACAAGCAACAGCAACAGGAGAAAGAGAACATATCCACACGTATCACTGATCATTGTAACCATATTCTCTGCCACGGTAAGAAGCCGTTGGCTAGATATTGGCACCACCTCGCGAATACGCGTAAACAACAATAAACAAAACAACAACGCGACGACGCGAGGAAGTAGCGATTTCGAAAGATTAAAGTCACTAAAAAAAGAAAAAGAGAAAAAGAACAAACGTCGAAAGACAAGTATAATACTTGTCTTTTTATTGTTAAAGAATCACAGAGAAATGTGCGAGACACGCTTCTTCCGAAAGGATGATTCATGGGATATGGAGATGAACGCATACGTACGTATATATCTATACGTATCTACGGATATTATGCATATGACATCGGGTCGGACATTAACCACTACAGGGATATGCATCTCGCATGAGATATGGTATCTATCGATACTTGATTAATAATTTTAATGATACGTTTTAAACGAAAATCGATCGTTACGTGTAATGATACTTCTACGATACGAAAATAAATGTATTTACACTCACCGCTTTCGATGTAAGGAACAAGCAACAGCAACAGGAGAAAGAGAACATATCCACACGTATCACTGATCATTGTAACCATATTCTCTGCCACGGTAAGAAGCCGTTGGCTAGATATTGGCACCACCTCGCGAATACGCGTAAACAACAATAAACAAAACAACAACGCGACGACGCGAGGAAGTAGCGATTTCGAAAGATTAAAGTCACTAACAGTCGAACAAGACACAGGAAACGCGACGCGGCCGATAACCGATAAAATATTGGCGCGTACACTTGGAAAGCTTGGTGATCCGCGGATGATCAAATACGAACCAATAATATTTCGAGTTATATTCACTACTCAGCCTGCGTAGCAACTAGACTCTGCGTAGCACACAGCAACACAGCATCGATGGTGTTTTTCACTGACGTTACGTTGCGAACGCGTTCTGTTGTTCGCGCGCGCGACTTTTCGGAACAGCCGAGTCATACGACGCGAGTCGCATACGAGAATCGACGGAAAATGACGGACGGCCACGGCACAAAGGACACACGGCACGTCTCGACTCAGGGTTGACGAGCTTACGCCATCGTTTTCCACCGATATTATCACTTACACGCGGACGGTCCTTACCACCGACGATCCGCCCCTCGTAACCTTCCTCCGTCGCACGGTATTCGTCTCCCTCTCGTTTCTCGTACCTTCCTCCACTATTTGCTTCTTTGCCGCTCGTTTCTCCGCGTTGACTCGTAAACGTCGTAACAGCTGACCACACTCTTTTTATCACACTCTCTTACCAGATGATCCAAGATTTAGCTGACGCATCGCAGCAGCAACAAAACACACACACGACGTCGGCCAGTCGCCACCGTTGCCACTGACAGTCCTACCACCGCTAGAATTTTCGACTTCCCTGTGTCATGGCGGCGAACTGTTTGTTCGAGCTTTGACCGGCAGAGGACGATAGTTACTGTTGCTGGAAAGGCGCTATCTTGACGCGTGACGTCATTCAACGGAACTTTAGGAAATATATTTACAAATATTTTATATAAAATAATTTATACAATTTTATTATTACATTATTATATATATAAACTATGCACACACACACATACATATATATATATATATGCGACATCGAAATAAATATTAATATTGATCGAAGAATGTGAAATATATGCTATAAATTATGAAATAATATATATATATATATATATATATATATCTAAAATGTATATATAAAATGAATAATAAAAAATATTTACAATTTATGTATTAGAAATATTTGATTCTTTTCCTTGTTCGATTTTTATCTAGTTTGCTTCTTAAAATTTTGAATTTTAATGTTATTATTTTTTTTTTTTTTTTTTTTACGATTGTAAAAAATAATAAAATATGTTCGTCTAAGCTAGGATTAAATTATTCAAATATTTTATTAATTAACTTACAAATTAATGGAAAAGTGTTTGACGAAGTGTGAAAATAATATAATATAATCATTTACATGGAAATAAGAAATTTCACGTTTATGTGGTTGGCTGCACTTCCAGTCATTCACATTCGGGAGTTTTAAAATCCCAATATGGATAAAATTTTAATATTATCTATTAAATTATGAAACATACTTGTTTACTTTACACAAATTCCCGGTAAAAATTTTTTAATCGATAATAGTTTTTATATATTTTTTTGAGGATTCAAATATAACAGTGGAAATAGAAACCTAACCTTTTGTCATTGATAAAATTAATTTTTCAATAATTGTAATTATAATTATAAAAAGTAAGATGCCTGTACACTTTTAATTTAACTTTTTTCATTGATGTCGATTTTATGACAGATGCCAATAAACATTAATGTAAAACATTAATTGTTAATGAATAAAATGTAACCCTAATGAGGTTAAGCGTGGTACGTGGGAAAGTACATACTCCGTACACAATCGAACAAAAGCAATGTCGGAGGCTGAATTTGTATATGTACATTCTAAAAAATCTAATCGATATAATAGCGGAGAAAAATATGAGTTCAAACGTACACAAACTTTGCCACGAAAATTATCCCAATGCAATTCAAGTAAATTTATTCCTATCCTAATTTCGTTCCGTTCGAATTTGTAGAATATCGTATATCGACATAATTTTATTATTCTTAACTTAATTAATACGATATTCTTCTTTTTTAACAGTAGAAAAATTGGAGAAAAATAATTTTCGAAGAAATCGAGAGAACGAGAGGAAATGTTTAGAAAAGTTGAAAGCGGAAAGAGCTGCCATCAATGCAAAAAAAAAATCTTGCGAAGAAGACTTGGAAGAAGAGGTAAATAGTTTTCGAAGAAATCGAGAAAACGAAAGGAAATATTTAGAAAAGTTGAAAGCGGAGAAACAGTTGGCTGCTATCAATGCAAAAAAAAAACCTTGCGACGACGATTCAGAAGAGGAGATAAACAGTATTCGAAAGAATCGAGAAAACGAAAGGAAATATATAGAAAAGCTGAAAGCGGAAAGGCAGTTGGCTGCTATAAATGCGAAAAAAAAAAACCTTGCCACGAGTCCGAAGAAGAAGAAGAAGAAGAAGAAGAAGAAAAAGAAGAAGAAGAAGAAGAAGTTAGTAGGTCGTTGTTCTCTAATTGTTGTAAAAAGAAGAAATTGCCTGCAAAAAAAGTCCAGAAAAAAAGGCCAACTTTCTGGCAACGCTTCAGAGGAAAATTTCGAAAGAGGAAGCCAGTGAAGAAAGCCACTTTCGAAGACGACGATAAGAAAATCAAACGGAAAAAGAAAAAAGAAAAGCCCGAGTATGAAAGAGTAGAGAAGCCGGAGAAAGTGGACGATGTAACTCCTGAAGCTAAGGATGTGGATTTCACGAAGAGCTGTTGTTATTTATGCGCCAAAAATACTATGGCGATCGCGGCAGCACTTACTAAAGGTGAAAAATTTCACATATCTATACAAGCATCGACGAAAGAAATATCAACCTCCGACAAAAGCTGCAGTCCAACTATATATGTCAGAACTGTACAATCATCCGTTAAGGTGAGAACACGCGACATAGGCACTTCGTTCCCTGAGAGGAAGAAAGAAAAGAAGGTAAAAAAAGCGAAGCCAAAATTTAAAATTCCAAAGAGGCTCCAGGCTATAATTCCAAAATTAAGATTTCCCATGTATCCAAAAGTACAAACGGTTGCTTGTGAAACGGAAAAATCGATGATACCGCCTTGTAGGGCAAGACAAGGAGTCAACTGCGTAACGGAAGCCAAAGTGGCGAATATGCAAGCAAAACTGAAAGCTGATAAACTTAATAACCAAAACTGTACAAATAAGAATTTTGTATAAATTATTTAATGCTATAGTTTCTTTTAATCGTTTTTGATACACAGTTCTGGTTTAACAGAATTTTATGTGAATAATTTATTGCATCAGAGTTATACAGATGTAACATGTCCATTCAATATAAATGAAATAAATTTATATGAAGTTAAAAAAATTATAAACCTTGTATATTTTTTATTTATAATAACTCCCTTTAAACTCTATCCTTTAATTTATCTTTAATATTCAACCAGATATTCGTCAAACAGATATACGTTGTAAGATTAAAGAAAAACGAAGAATTTTTAAAATTTTGTATTTATTATAGTCGTATAACTTATGTACACAAAATTTTTATCCTATGCATTTTTCACAACAGATAAATTTATATTTTACAGTCGAACATCTAATTAGCGAAAATTATCAGTAAAGAAATATTATTATTACGTTTCTTCGTTGCATAAAATAATGATGAAGATAAAATACGATAACGTAAAGTAAGGTAGGCTCACTGTTATTTCACACGTATGTATATCGAAATATTACGTTTTGCGTTTTAGATCGTCGTTTTAGAGATACATCGTAAAGTCGAAGAGAATAATAATATCCATATTTTTTATATCAAAGATCAAGACACATTAGATATAAACTGTTTAAAAGGAAGCGACGAAAACATATTCGATATTCCATATCGATATTCCATACTTCGTGTAATCACGAGTGCCAAGAGTAACTATAGACAAGGAGAGGAAATAATGCGACAAGAACAGAAATAGAGTAAAAATAGCGAAATCAACGCCATCTCTAGAGTTTCGCAAATAAAACTCAATCTACAAGTAAAAGATAAAAAAAAAAAATAGTAGGATAAAGATAGAATAGAATTGACTATTGGCGCCATCTCTCGATCACCGAAGATATCTTCTTGAAGTTGGATAAGATAAGGGGAGAATTTAGATACAGCGCCATCTGTGAAGAATTTTTAGAAACACGATTTTTCGAAGAGATATCTATAACACTCCAGAGATGGCGCTGACGGTCAATTCTTATCCTATTTCCTATCCTTCTCCAATCATTTTCTGTCCTTATATGTTGAGTTTCGTTTACGGCACTCTGAAGATGGCGCTGAATTCGGTATTTTTACCTTATCTCTGTCCTTCTTCTACAATTCGCTCTCCTTGTTCCACATACTCATCGCAGATGAGAGACACGGATGGAAACACACTTTCACATCGTCTCAATCTTTAAGACGTAGAAAATATAGATATTCTCTGCTCTACAATGTGCACGATTCTACTGCTATGTAAAGCAAGCTAACGCTATATACGCGATATTGAACAGCACGGAAGCAAAATTGTACATCGAAAACTATTATTAATCCACGAATACATAATTCAATCGAATATCTATACGAATACGAATCCAATAAACGCACTCGAACATTTTATACGAAAGGACGTATCAAAAAAGAAAATTATTACTTTTCTTTAACTTTACCGACTTCTTTTTTCCATCGAATAATATATAATTCCTGCACTCACCGCTCATTTGCGAGATCTTAGAAACACAGGAAACGTCCTATCCTAAACGTTGTTCACGTTATCACCTGATCTGCGACACGAATGATCGCGCATACCCGTTCACAGCGTATCCGACGACGATAACGGTCGTGGCGGTATCGTCATCGTCATCGCGTTCGCGTCATCCGACGTTGCTGGACTTCCAAACACGAGGGGCGTGGTATAATAGGGTAACAGGGGATACTGTGCCGGCGGAAAGTAGGTTGGCGGGAAAAGTCCTTGCCTCTGGGCGATTTTTAATCTCGAGGTAAGTTGCTTCTTCCATTTCGTACGACGATTTTGAAACCACGTTTTTATCTGTACCTCGGTCAAGTTCAACGACTTGGACAGCTCCATCCGTTTGCTCACGCTCAGATACTTGTCGATCTGTCGAGAGAAAATCTGTGATACGATCGAGCCAATTTCAAATAATTCTTATCGAAATGAAGCAATAATTTTAATATCTCTCTCTCTCTTTCTTTCTCGTTTCTTTTTTCACGACGGCAACGTAACGACGTGAGTCGTGTCAAGATAAATGGCGCGAAAAGAGAGAGAGAGAAAGAAAAAAGAAGAAGAAGAAGAAGAAAAAGAAGAAAAATCGATATTTGAGCAAAGGACGTGGTCGTTAAAAGAGTAACACTTGCATGAAACTTGCATGAATTTCGTAAACAGAAAATATTTAGCATTCGGGATGTGTGCACTTGCCGTGTGTGTGTGTAAAAGTATAAGTCAATTGATTTAACAGTTTGCACCGTGCATACTTTTCTTCGGTTCAACCGCAAATAATCGTAAAGATTGCTCATAATTGTTTTCGCGGAATAGACCAGTAAATATTTTATGTCAATTAGAAACAAATTATTCGTAGGCTGCGTTTCTTGATCTTTTCAATTATCCGTTAAAATTTTTCTTCTTCTTCTTCTTCTTTTGCTAAAAATTCTTATACACGCTAAATACACGCGAGTTTAACACACACGCACCTTGCATATATATATATATATATATATACACATATATTTTTAGACTTTAAATCTTTTTTCTCGCAAAACTGCTAGAAATCCCGTCTACAGCCAAAAAAGAAAAAAATAATAATCTCAAATTATTAATCATTTCTAAAGTATACAATAATTCTTCTTTGAAATACGCACCTTGAATTCGGCTTCGAGCCTCTCCAATTGTTTCGCACTGTACGCTTGTCGCGGTTTCCTGTCGATGCCCGGCTTCCTCGACCGTCTTCCGCTCGGTTTAGGCGCTGCTCATCGAAAACGTATAAACGTCTCACAAGATGCATCTCATAAGAAAAAGAAAATAAAAGGGGAAAAGTTGGGCCTGTTCTTTTCCTTTGGAATTTTGGAAGTGGAAAATAAGTTGGATGACAGGCGGATCGACGAGGCCTTCCCCGTGAAGATTTACACCGGTGATAATAAAAATTTAGCATTACAATGATCGGCTCTTAATCGTTGCGCTAACTTCGACCGGGCTTCTACCCAATTACCACTTTCCTCGGCTCGGGACGGCCATTGGGCCGTGACTAGAGTTGGCAAGCGTGTCTAAAACGTGGGGGGATCGTTTGGGGAACGTGTGACATCTTAGTGCAAACACGGGCGACGAATGTGGGAAAGAGGTGGGCAAACAGTTTATACCGAGGAACGTTTGGACGCGATTATCATCGGGGTGCAAACAAGTTGCACACATTTCCGTTCAAGGGGGTTATATGAGGCATTATACCGTTGTTAGCCGCGTTTAGATGATCACCGCGCCCTGTCTCGCGCGCCAACAGAACGGACAAAGGGGATTCCACTCGATTCGATCCCAATCGTTTCAACGTTGGGCGAAAGTTTTTACACCGAGATTCCAAGATTTTTCTTTCATGTCTGTTTTATTTTATCTACATTGGAGGCGTAATTATTTTGTATAATTTCGATACAGACGAAACTAAGATTGAGCTTCCAAGATTTTTCTACATTCGATTCTATAAAAGTTTCATTATTTTGTAATTTGGATATAAACGAAAATTTTAACCTCGATTAAGCTTTCAAGATTTTTCTATAAAAATTAATATTTTTGTATAATTGAATACAAACGAAACTAAGATTGAGCTTCCAAGATTTTTCTATATTCGATCCTATAAAAGTTAATTATTTTGTAATTTGAATATAAACGAAAATTTTATCCTCGATTAAGCTTTCAAGATTTTTCTATAAAAATTAATATTTTTGTATAATTTGAATACAAACGAAACTAAGATTAAGCTTCCAAGATTTTTCTATATTCGATCCTATAAAAGTTAATTATTTTATATTTCGTAATTTGGATATAAACGAAAATTTTAACCTCGATTAAGCTTTCAAGAATTTTCTATATTCGATTTTATAAAAATTAATTATTTTGTATATTCGTAATTTGAATATAAACTAAGATTAAGCTTTCAAGATTTTTCTACATTCGATTCTACAAAAGTTTAATTATTTTGTACATCCGTAATTTGAATAGAGGCAAAACTAAGATTAAACTTCCAAGATTTTTCTATATTCTATTAAAGTTAAGATATGAAAAAGGAATTTTGATATATTTGATATAATTTGAATACAGACGAAAGTTTTAACTAAGATTAAGCTTTCAAGAATTTTCTATATTCGATTCTATAAAAATTAATTATTTTGTATATTCGTAATTTGAATACAGACTAAGATTAAGCTTCCAAGATTTTTCTACATTCGATTCTATAAAAGTTAATTATCTTGTATTTCGTAATTTGGATATAAACGAAAATTTTAATCTCGATTAAGCTTTCAAAATTCGATTCTATAAAAGTTTAATTATTTTGTACATTTTGGATACAGACAGAAAGTTTTAATTGAGTTTCCAAGATTTTTCTACATTCTACATTCTATAAAAGTTAATTATCTTGTATTTCGTAATTTGGATATAAACGAAAATTTTAACCTCGATTAAGCTTTCAAAAAATTCGATTCTATAAAAGTTTAATTATTTTGTACATTTTGGATACAGACAGAAAGTTTTAATTGAGTTTCCAAGATTTTTCTACATTCGATTCTGTAAAAATTAGGAATTTCGTATATCCACATCTCTTTTCTTTCCTTTCTTTTTTAAATTTAATCGCGCGCGAATGAATGATAACCCGATGAAACATGAAAATAGAAATTGGTGTAGGATTTTACGAATCTTGAAATTGTTACTGTTAACAATTTATGGCGGCCAATTTTCCGGCGAAACGGTTGTCCACGAATTCCGGAAAATCGGCTCGAAATAAACGTCCTCCTCCACTTTTTTCCCTTGTTTAACGTCCCAGTTAGCCCCTTACACTCTAAACCAACAAATAGATGTCGCGCGTTCACACAACACAACATATTTTCTATTTCCTCGCAAACGTTTCGAGACGCGTACGAGGAAACGTTTCTTCTTACAACGACTTTTTACGATCCATTCATATTCTCGCGAAACACTTTCATTCAAATTTTATCGTTCGAACGGAAAAGTTATCGAAAAAAAGAACATCTGCTTCCTCTTCTTCGAAGAATCGAAATTAAAAACGTTATGAGAAAGATACAGTAAGAGTAACTTCTTAAACAAAGTAAGGACGAGAATCCAATTGTTTCGCAGTTTAACGTAACTTTCCACCCTCTGGATTTTACAAAATTTTCGAATTATCCTCCAGATCCGAATCGGGCCGATCGTATTTCCTAGAAACGATTATTGGCCGAAAAGGGAAACGCAGGAAAGAAAAGTGACGGAATAAAGATTTACGAGTGTACAGAGACGTTTAGCACCTGTCCGGAAGGTGGTTAGAGTAACGTCGCTGATAAATGGGCTTCTAACAGCATGGCGGATAGCAGCGAAAGAGGTGGAACAACGATGGCGACGATCGAGCCAATATTATTCGCCGAGGGAAAACGCCTCCAAAAATATCCGCGATTTCCTCGAAATGCATATTGCGGCAAATATTGCGACCGATTTTTCATAAAATGTAATTTCGATTCGACTGTCCACGGATGAAAAGTGGCTCCTCTCGCCCACTTTTAACCTCTCTTCCTCGCTCTCCTCGTTTCTCTCGATCGTGAAATACATATTCGTTAGAGAAAATTAAGTTTTCCGGATTAATCGATGATCACCACGCCTCGTGAATAATCGTGGAATCAATTGGATGAGAACCGTCTCTCTAATGATTACGTATCTCGATTTCTAAAACATTAATTTTCTTTAAATGAAATATATTTCATCGAGATCGAGAGATAGAAGTAAAAGAAAAAAAGGAATCTTCAAGGATGATTCGAGTTCTGATTTCTTCATTCGCACGCGATATCGTAGAAAATATATCGTGACGGAGAGATCGGCAAAAGGAGAGAAGGCAAAAGTATGCGAACCAGTTTTTATTAGCAAATATTATATTTCAATCTCCGATGCATCATGAATCTCTAAAGAAATGTTAATTTTCGTACAAACAAAAGTAATATAATTGGAAAGACACCCTGGTTATTAATTTTTGTAACAAAGCAAACGTTTCACGATAGATAAATAAAATTTTCAAAACATAATATTTAATGGAATTCAATGCAACGAACCAATTTTATATCTTAAGTTCAATATAAATTTTTCCATGATTAATAAACATAAATAAATAAATCGAATAAATGATACGTTCCACGATACATTTCGAGATAGAACAGAAAGAAGCAAGGGAATCTTTCACTTGTTCTTCGTGGAAAGAGGACGCAACGATTTCTATAAAAACGTTACTTATACAAAAATCATTCGATGATTTAATCCTCGCTGGCAAACTCGCGACAGAGTGGAATAGGTTTCGAGAAGAAAGCTTTGATTTTCGCGAAAAATAACTCTTCACACCTGAGACACGCGGTGAGACAGAACTGGAATCAAGGGGTGTACAACACCCCCTCGTGGCTGTTAATGCGACGTTCGCGTGTCGAAAAGCTGTTACGACAGACGCCTCGAGTAATCACCCCGATATTCCCTTCTTTCGGATACAACGAAATAACACACCCGATCCTCGCTTTTCTTCTCCCCCATTGTTCGCGAAAATGGAATCACGCCGATAAGTTATTACGGGACGGGGTAATTAGAGATCGCTTTTTTTCTTTTTTTCTTGTCACCTAGATCGGGATGGAAGTAGATATAAATATTTCGAAAGGCGAAAAGCAACGATTCAAACGCAAAAACGCTTTGTTCCAGGATGGATCGAGCTAGGGCTCACCTTGAAGGCCGAAAAGTTGGCCAGGTTTCGACTGGGCGAACCAACTGTTGTACAAAATGGACGCAGAGGCGAGAGACGTAGCCGAGTAGCCGGGATCCGAGAGGGCCACCTCCGAATAGGGCAATTCTGGATACAAACCTGTTCAAACAGACGAATCAAAATGTCATTCTTAAAAAGAATCAAGAATTTTTTCCCCCTCGAGAAAGTAGAAATCGTGTTAACCAACCGAGAGTTACCAACTAACTTTCTAAGGGGAATAAATAAATAAATAAATAAATAAATAAATAGAAAGAAAGAAATGTGAAATTTTACCCGGATGAGCGGCCGATAAACCGGAGGTAGGCCCGATAAACCGACTCCCTTCCACTTTCTCCTCTCTCTCCTCCTCCTCCTCCTCCTCCTCCTGCTCCTCCCCCTCGCCCCCCTCGGGGCAATTCAAATCAACGCGCACCTCGACCTCCCTCTTCCTCTTCCTCCTCTTCTCCCGCCTGCCAAGAATGTTATCTATCGTGAAAGCCGTGGACGCGGCGGCCACGCTCGAATTCTTTCCCTCCGCCGCTCTCTGCCTCCTCCATTGCGCCCCTTTGCAACTTTCGCCGCTCGAATCGGACGCGTAACCACCCATCGCGTCCCGCCGATGCGTGCCCTCGCCGCCAACAACCGATTTAACCGCCGATCTCTCCTCCCCGTACGCGCTGCTCCCCCCCACCAACCGAATCTTCCCAACGTCCTCCCCGCCACTTTGGCAAAACTCGTCCATGGCGAATGGTGAATCACAATCGAGAACACGTTTCTCCGCTCTTCTTCTCTTCCTTTACCATCCTTCTCTTCTTCTCTGCCCGCATCTTTCGACAATTTTCCCCCCCATTATTTCCGATAAAAAGGGATAAAAATTATTCGATTCACTAGTCGTCGCGAAATCCTCCATCCATTCTCGACACGTGCGAGAAATTTTCAACCGATCCTCTATCGGACATGTATTATCCGAGTTGAGAGCGTCGCGTTGGCGCGTTACACTCGAGCGAAATCATTCATACGGGATCTAATCTACGACTAATCTCCACCTTCCGAAGGCGAGCGCCTCGAAATGTATGACAGGTGGCACGTGTCCGTGGTCCACAAGAACCTCCCAGACTCCCCACCCGAAACCGTCCCGGGGGGAAGGTCATCCCCGGCTAACGCCCCCCCTACTCCCCGCACGCCTCACTCGCTCGCTCTGTCTCTCTTCTGTTAGCCGATCGGGGTAGTGGTCAAAAGCTTATTCGCGTTCGGTTTAACGCTCCTTTGCCTGTCCGCGAACAAATCGATAAGAATACCATCCTCGCCGATTTCGAAAGAAAGGTAGAAAGGAATCTACGCGTTTCTATGCGATTATATTTCGTATCATTATTTCGCATATAAGTAATTATCGAATTTGGAATTTTTGAAACTCGTTATTAAAATCGTTGCAAGATTAAATCGTTGAAAACGTGAGATTTAACGGAGGTAATTGCGTTGTCGGTAATACTTATCGGTGGATAACGTAGTTAGTTTTATAGGGCGATATGCGCAGTGGCAAGGTTCGTCCGCGAGGGAAGAGTGGGAGAAGGATGAGAGAGGGAGGAGGCCTGATTGGCCGACGGAGGCGCATGCCCGCCCGTAGCGTCCGCCCTCCTCGACCCCCCCATTTCGGAGCTTTGTGTCCGCAAACTAATGGCCCCTTCCCCTCCCACCTTCCTCCTCCTCCAGCTCTCATACACACTCGGGCGATGGATAAACGCCTCTGCCATACGGGGAACGTGTTTCGTGAAAAAGTACCGCGAAACACTTCTTCACGCGTTTACTAAACTCCTTGCGCAGTGGTTCTCACCCGCCGAGTTTGAACAATTTATAAGAAATTCGTCTCGTCGAGAAAGAGAGAGGAGGATACGATGCGTGAAAATTTCGTGGAGAAATTTTTCTTTCTTATTCGCGATAATTTCCTTCTTTATCGATCGAGGAAACATTTTAACAAAAATCGCAGGGGAATTTCTTTTTTTTTTAATTACAACTATAGGCGAGGTAATGAAAATACGAATTCGATCGTAAGTCGATGAGGTAATCGTCTTAAAGGCGTTGCATCATATCTCGCTTAAAAGCGAAATTTGAGACTCGCGGATCTTCGTTTCAGCGATACATCTTCGATCGCTGGCCGTATAGCTATTTCTGTTTACAAACTTGAGACGCGTAGCATTTCCAGGATAAGCGGAACCATTAGTTTCGCCCAATCTCGATGCTCATCCTTGAATACATCGTAAATCTGTCGAGTTAAAGGACCATTCACGATTCTGACCACTTTTTATCACGGAATTCGGAATTTTCATCAATTCGTTCCAATCGAGTTATATCGCGTAAAAAAAGGGACGTCCTTTTCAAGGCATTTACGCGTTTATATCGTAAGAACGATCTTTCAAATAACAGGAATAAAAATCAGTCTACAACTAACTAACGCGAATGAAAGTTTTTTTAAAAAAAAAAAGAAATTTTAAGATCAATTTCTTTCCAACTCAGCTACATCGCGTAAAAGGGATATTTTTAACATATAAGTAAAAACGATCTTCCAAATGATACATCAATAAAAATCATTTAACGTGAGTGAAAGTTTTTAAAAAAAGTAAGAAGAAAAAGAAAATCGAACAACGCCAATAAAACGAATCTATCAAGTTGACGCAAACGAAAGTTTCTGAAATAATAAAGGTAAGGAGTAATTTAAAAAATTTCGCAAAGTCCATAATTAGTATTAATTGGCCGATAAAAAATACAGTTAAACTTTAACACAAAGAAAGGGAAGAGAAGAGATTTCGTACCTTTTACCCGTGTTTTACGAGCACACTCGAGCAATTTAAGCGTGCAAGCGACGTGAACAAATATTGAGTACCGGTTACATGAAACGAAATCCCGTGCATCGCCGTTTTCGTTATGTGTGGAAAGGAGGAAGTAACGACGTGGCCGTGGCGCACATGGAATTTCACGGACAAAGTTTAGTTATCTGCTATTACGCTCGTTCCAAGAAACCATTACGGATCCTTAAAAACCTCTTTCGAATTCAACTTTTTAAAATAAAAATCACCTTTTATCCGCTTTTTCCTTCTTTTCTTATTCTTTCTTTCTTTCTATACACACACACACACATATATATATATATATACAATTATTTCATTGCGAGATAATTCGTACAAATACATCGAGTTAAAAGTTCCTCTTCCAATTCAATTTATTTTACGCAGTTGATTTGAACACTGTTCACATGGTGCGCGTTTTTAAAGAAATTGCGCGATAGACGTCGAGGTTGAATCGTTATTCGCAGAAAGAAACTTAGGATCGGTGGAAAAGCTCGGTGAAACAGCCGAATGGACCTAATCATCGAATGAACTGATACTGGACTTTACTTCTCCGTTCGATGCACGCTGCGCCGCGTAATTGAAACGATCAATCAAACACCTGAGAAAAGGAGGGTGTAGGTAGTAACGCGGCCACAAATTGCCGTGGAACGTTTTCACACACACACACGTATATACACGGAAGGTTTATCGATGCCACACCCCTGTAACACGCTTTCAACGCGCGTTCGTGCTTCGTTGTTCAATTTTTCTCCTCCTCCCCCACTTTTTCCTTTCCTATTTAAAAATAACAAAGTGGCAATATTCTCCTAGAACTCCTCTCTCCTTCTTTCCCCGCACGGGGAATTAATAAAATCCACGAATCGGAGAAATAAAACGCGAAAAATCCGAACGAACGAAGTGAGATGAAACGATTAGTTTCGTAGGAAAGAGTTGGTAGAATGGTTTAGTTTAATCGCTTAATTCAACGACAGAGTTTTCAAATAATTCAAAACAGCGACAGAAAATAATGGAAATGATAAAATTCTTAAGAAGCTTCTTTCTCTTTCGATTCTTAAATAAAATAACACGGTTTAGAGAGAAGAAAAAAAAAAAAGAAAAGGAAACTTAAGACGACAAATTCATTTACAAATTTACAAGCGGTCGCGTGGTAAATATCCCTCGTGCAAACAGGAATGGATTTATTTGGACACATGGTTAATCATGTGAGGGGGAGTGACGTTACCCACCAGCCCGATCGCTACGTAATCGGACACCTATGATTAAATACGTTTATTAAAAACCACTTACACCGCACTTATGAATGTTTTAGGAGAGGAGGGTTCGCGGGGCGGGTCGGATGGTGGAGATGAGGTAATGGGGGCTTTGTTCCCTTGGGAACCCGCTCACCTGTCTAATATCCCGCGGGAGTGGGCTATATCTGCGTCCATACCGAGGTTATACATCGAGGTTACTGAAAATTAATCGTCCAGTTTTCCAACGTTCACGCCATTATCTTTTATCTTCCAACGCCTGGGCTAAATAGGTGTGATGTTAACCGGAATGTTTACGGCGAAAGATTTATCGATCTTCTTCTTCTTCTTCTTCTGCATTATGGAATGTATGTCGTAAAAATTGGAATAAAACTCGTCAAGTTTAACGTGTTGGTCGGATAAAAAATTTAAATAGTGAAGTTATCGTATTAGAG